CTTGATCATATCAGGGGCTACACATGGTACCCCTTGCTACGTCTAGATTTCGGCATCCTAACCGAGTTCGATTGGGACGAGGATGTGAGGGACTACCTCTACGGTATTGGGTGGGACTTTCTCCTCCAGACCCCTCCTACCCGCATCTTCTGAGAGGCTACGATGGAGTTTCTAGCCTCTGTCACGATGGTGGTCATGCCGTCCATGTTCCCGGGTGTCCCTCCAGCGAGGGTGGTCTCGTATTTCATGAACGGGACCTATAGGACGACGATGTTGGATGAGTTCAACGTCATCATGAGCTTTAACCAGCCCGCTGACACCTTGACTCCAGAGTATCAAGGAGATATATGTGAGCGGCCAGCTACCCTCACAACCGGTGAGATTTGGGAGGATCTCACCGGATTGCAGATCCTGCCGGCCCAAATGAGGGGGTCGGCCCTCAATCCTCCTCTCCATATATGCCACAAGCTATTGGTAGGAACAGTGCACGAGCAGAAGGAGAGTTAGGGTAAGATCACCCAACCTGATCTCTTCATCCTCCACTGCATGCTCCACGAGCGCAAGTGTAACCCAGGTTACTTCTTCTTGAGGGCACTGAAGGATTTTGGAAGTCGCCCTACAGGGGCCATCCTCGTAGCTCCCCTCATCACCCCGCTGGCCGAGAGATGGGGATGCGCCAACGGGGAGACATACCCTCTACCCTCCGACCCGAGCCTATTAGTGGATCCATGCTCGTCAGCATGGGCATGCTCATTAGGCAAGGGTCCGAGTTGGTACTCCATCTGGCGCTCGCTATGACCTTGGACATCCGGGACCTGGATGAGTCAGATGATATCCCCATGCCCTCGGGATTCGAGCAGCAGTAATAGTATGGAGACAACATTCCCGACGTCCACCTCCATATAGACGTCATACACCAACAACTGGACCAGATGTCCTGAGGCAGAACGTTTTTGAGACGCGGCTGGAGACTATCAGCCAGAGGCAGGAGGGAGTTATCCAGAGCTTGGACGCGATCATCCAACATGTGCTCAGCATGATCCGGAGCCAAGAGGAGTTTCAGAGACATATGCTCCGACAGTTTCCTCCTCCAAAGCCATCTTTAGCTTTGCAGTTGGACCAGCCGCCGCCTTAGGAGCATTGTTATATATATTTTTCATCTGTTATACAAAAGCTTATGATATATAAAAAAAGATTCTTTTGTTAGCTATTTACTTTTACTATCTTTCAAAGAGCCAGCGTACTAAAAAAAGACTAAAAAATAAAAAGGCATACGCATTATCCCGAAAAAGACAAAATCCAAAATTACGAGAAAAAAGAATAAACCGCGTGTCGCCGCCGTCAGAAGAGGCGGTCGGAGCGACGCGATGGTTTTTGAAATGACTCGCATTTTCTTTGAAAGAAATGGTTCAACGCCTTTAGGTCGTCCGATAACCAGACTAGACCTAAAGGCGAGGTTTTCGAATAGGTTCGAGGAGTCGCCATCAGTGTTTTAACCTTAAACACTGAAAAAGGTAAAAAAGAAAAAGGCAGTGGTTTTAGAAAAAACCAACTTTGGCCATTACAACCAGAGTCAGGTAAGGGAGTTAGTTACGTGTGGGGAAGGTGTTAGCACCCCCACAACGCCCCTTTCGGGTTCCCTATGATGGACTAACTTAGAAAATAAACGCTTAAAGAAATTACATTTTTACCCTATTATTTTATCTACTTGCAGAATTTAAATATCTACATGGCTCTATTATCTAATGCACACAAAGAAAGCGATAAAGAAAGCAGTAAAAGAGACAGAGAATAGAGAAGGAACCTCCAAAGCGAGCTCTATATTAACTCTTCTAAAATGTGAGGACGCTTTTTGGCAGTCCCCGCACTCTACAAGCACGCTCCTCCTGCAAAATAAAGACAAATCACTCTACCGAGGGCCAGATGTCTCAAAAAGAGACTTCCTTAACCGATTTCAACCTTAACGGAAATCGGAAAGCTCCCTCGAACCCCGGAATAATGCTCAGGGTCACTCTCAAGTGCCAAAAAGCTTCCAAGAGAGTGGAGGAGTGGAAAAGGTGTGAAAATTCGGAGGAATGAGGCCCCTATTTATAGGGATTCGGGCCTGGAAAAGGTGGACGACCGTCTGGACAAAGCGGACGGCCGTCCAGGGCAAATAGTGGCCATGGACGGCCATCCAAGCTAAGTGGACGGTCGTCCATGGCCTTAAAGTTGCCATGGACGGCCGTCTGCTTGTCATGGACGGTCGTCTGCCTACTCTGGACGGCCATCCGCCTGTTCTGGACGGCCATCTGCTATCTCCGGCGGATTTCCTGATTTTTAATGCCTCTAAAAACCCTTCCTATCTTAAATGGAACCTAGAACAAGCTACTTAGGGACTTGATAAAGTCTTAACCATCTTCGGAATGGGCGATCTTCGGCTTTATTAGAGGTTCGGGCAAGATTTGGGGTCTACAGCTGCCCCCCCTTTACCCGACCAATTGACCATGGGTTAACATACCATGAGGTCTATTGGCGGGTGAAGGAGTTAACCCTCTTGCCCGACTGTCTTCTGGATACTCCTCTTGCTGTGGAGACTGACCCTTCGGATGATATGCTGTGAGGCTTCAAGATGCTCCTTCGGTGCGGTAGCTGACCCTTCGGCTGACACAAAGAGAATTTTGGGATGCTCCTTCGATGTGGTAGCTGACCCCTTGGTTGATGAGTATGAACCCCCATCAGGTTAGATGCCTCAGGATGCTCCTTCGACGTGGTAGCTGACCCTTCGGACGATATGCTGTGAGGCTTCAGGATGCTCCTTCGGTGCGGTAGCTGACTCTTCGGCTGACACGTAGAGAATTTCGGGATGCTCCTTCGATGCGGTAGCTGACCCCTCGGTTGATGAGTATGAACCCCCATCAGGTTAGATGCCTTAGGATGCTCCTTCGACGCGGTAGCTGACCCTTTGTCTGTGGTGGCGGCTTACTGCTTCTGGTCATGCGTCGATTTTGCCTGTGTGCAGGTCTTCGTCTTCAGGTTTTTCCGTTTCCTGAAGAGGTGGTGACGACTTACTGTTTTTTATCATGCGCCGGTTTTGCCTGGTGTGTAGGTCTTTGTCTTCAGGTCTTTCGTTTCCTGAAGTGGTGATGGTGACTTACTGTTTCTGATCATGCGCCGATTCCATGGGGAGTGATTGTTCTTTGACTTTCGTGTAGTCATCCGGTATGTCGGGGATTCTTCGCTTTTGGATTTTTCTTTAGTCGTCCAGCTTCTTGACTGCTGGGGATTTTTGATGAATGCCTCTTAGGTAGGCAGGAATCCTTTGGGGATTTGGCCTTTTATTGGTTGTGGCAGTTGGAATACTTGATTAGTTTCTCATTTTTCTGCGGTTTTATTCCTCTTTTTGATTTGGAATTTTGGCTTTTTTGGAATGACGCATGTGCCTTTTTATTTTCTTTGTTTCTTCTGTGCATGCTGGCTTTTGTACAGAGAGGCAACAAGATGAAAAACATAAAGTCTCATTTATTTATTTTGCGGAAAATTAAAGTACAATAGGAGATTTATAAAGATCTCAGCTTTCCGGCTCTGAGCTGGATGCTGAGGATGGTGATGGCGAAGGGAGTCGGCGGAGTACGCGGTGCTAGAATTCTTCCTGGCTTCGGATCATGCCGTGTAGGTCCTGGCCCATTGTGTCCATTCTCTGCATGAGGTCGTCTACCCTCAGGCTAAGGCTTTCCCCGCCTTGCTCATAACTCTACTGCCTTAAGGACAACTGATCAATCTGTTGGCACAGGTGCTAGTACTGCCTATTCGAGTGGGCCCTTTCATCGCTCATGTGCCGGTGCAGGCTGTCGAGGCTATCTTCATATTGCATCTGTTGCTGTTGGGATCCTGGAGGGACGGGCATCTCTTATGATTCTGAAGCGTCCATCTCCTGGATGTCGAACGTCATAGCAAGGATGGGGTGTATGACCCAGGAGGTGCCCTGACGGGTGAGCATGCTCATGTGGGCGAGTACCGGACCATCTATGAGTTCCGGTCGCAGGGCAGTGGGGATGTCTTCTCCACCAGTGCATCCCCAGTACTCAGCTAGAGGAGTGATAAGGGGGCCTACCATGAGGGATCTTGCAGGGCCTCGTGTCCCAAAGTCCTTCAGGGCCTTCAAGAAAAGGTAGCCTGGGTTGCATCGAATCCCTTGATGCATGCAGTAGATGACAAAGAGGTCCGCCTGAGTGACCTTGCCTTGACTTTCCTTCCGTCTATGAAGGGTGCCGGCTAGCAACTTATGACAGATGCGGAGAGGCGGGAGGAAGGTGGTCCCTTTTAGATTGGCGAGAACGTGCTGGGAGCCGGTGACCTCCTCCCATATCTGATTGGTGGTGAGGGTAGCTGGCCTTTCACAGAATGCCCCCCTGTATTCCGATGTCTGGATCTCTGCGGGCTGGTGGAACCCCATGAGGACGATGAAGTCGTCTATGACATTAGTCCGGTAAGCCCCATTCATCCAATAGGTGACTGCTGGGACAGGTGGAAGCCCGGGGATCATAGATGGTAGGTGTATGAGTGTGACCGAAGCAAGGAATTCCAGCGTGGTCGTGCGGTGGATGCGGGTAGGTGGATCTTTGAGCAGGAAGTCCCATCCTATACCTTGGATGTACCTCCTTACGTCCTGATCCCAACCGAACATGGCTAGGATGTTGAAGTCTAACCAGAGCATAGGGTGCCAAACATACTGGCTGATATTGGCAAACCTGGCCTGGTGCTGCTCGGTTAGTTGAGTGGGAACCTGAGGAGGAGGGATGCTCCTTATGGGTCCCCGGGAGAGCTTCCGACGTGTAGACGACTCTCCATGATCCATTACTCAACCAAGAACACTCAAAATATGCAGAGGGAGGTGTAGGAGGAAGGGAGAATGCAAGAATGAGGTGTCATGAACCATTTGGGGCGCCCAAATTTATAGGCAAAAGAAACAGGGGCGGACGGCCGTCTACTCTAGGTGGACGGTCGTCTGCCACCAACGGTTACCCATGGATGGCCGTCTGGCAAGGATGGACGACCGTCTGCCCCCAACGGAAACCTCTGGACGGCCGTCTGGCAAGGGTGGATGGTCGTCTACCCCCCAACGGCCCCTTCTGGACGGCCATCTGCCTTAAACGGACGACCATCTGCTCTTTTTTTGCTGTTTTATTATTTTTTCTTTTGTTTATTATTTTTGAAGGAAATAGGACCTTATTCATCAACATCTATGCATGTAATGTTCATGATATGCAACTTATAATGCTATTTCAATTAATTACTTTCAGAAAAGTTAACTGATGTACTCCTGACGGGGGAATTCTTCTGGTGTTACCTTCAGCTGTACCATTTCTGCTGTTTTGGATTTTCCTTAACCGAAGGATGATCGTGATGAAGAGTTATTTCGTCATACTAGTGTGCTTCTTCCCCTCTTTTGGAATTTCAATCCTCCTATTGATTATTGTGCTTTCATATTACCCAGTTAATCGCTAGAATATCATAGTGATAAGGGTCAAGAGAAAAGAAAGAAACGGATGATTAAATCAAAGGTTTGTATTTTTAGAGGGGATTTCTTGAAACCAATGGTATCTGTAAGCACGGCTAGCCAAGGTTGGTCAAACTGTTTAGGCTTAGCTTAAACAAACGTTTGTTTGCGGGGTTGCGTCTTTGCTTGGTGAGCTTTGCGGCGCCTGCTAAGACTGATTGTCTTTCCTAGACCGCCCTTCGGGTTTTCAATCTAGGATGTTGCGTTTCGTCCTAACTTTTGTTGGGGTTTCTTTTTATTATGCTTTAGAAACCCTAATGGACTCCGTTTTTGTAACCTATCTTTTGCCTAGGCTGCCATTTATCATTGGTCGGGTTTCCTAGCGGGTTGACCCTAACTTTTGCGTATCCCCCTTTTGTGGGTTTCCTACCGGGTTAGATGCCCTTTCTTTTTGGCCTTTGGCTTTTATGGGCTTTCTTATTTATTTTGGCAATGTTGGCAAATCATGGTTTCACTATGATGGGGTAAAACCTTATTCGTGTTTCTTGATCAATCAATGATGGTTTTATTTTTTATTTTTTTTTACTGTTGGTGCGCTTTCAAGTTTTTAGACGCCTTTTAGAAATGTTTGCTTAAGCATAGTTATTAATGAGGCGTAGACATGAGTAGTAAGAAAAGAAGCAGATAGTAAGAACTACTTGTGTCATCAACAATATTTTGCATAGTATAAACCCATGTAAGAAGCAGATTCTTTTTAGTTTCAGACTTATTTTGCATAGTATAAACCCATGTAAATTTGCTATGTCATCAACAATAATGAGAAATACTTGTGTCCATAAAAAGAAGGTGTGGAAGAGGGTACCCATATATCAACATGAATGATGTAAAAAATTTTAAAAGCATGAGAATTACTACACGGGGAAGGGAAGCTTCTTCTGTTTGGCCATATGACAGACTTCACAATGGTCTTTTCTAAAATGCATACAAGGATATTTTTGTTAAAAATCTCTAGTCTTTTATCATAAATGTGTCCAAGCTTGTTGTGCCACATATTACTAAGATTACATTTATTAATGTTGTTGACATAATGATTAGCAGTAACTAAAGTATACAAAACAACATATTGATTAATAGAACCAATCTTCCCTCCTATTTTCCAGTTCTTAATAAAGCAACTAGTGTTAGAAAAACAATTTGTATATCTAAATGTGAAACAAGTTTAGAAACAAAAATAAGATAATAATTAAAATCACAGATAAATAAAACATTTGTTAGAATAATTTCATCACATAATCTGATAGAACCTTTATGAGTAGCCTCAATTTTCAAGCCATTAGGGAGTTTAACAGTGACATTACTAATTTTTTCATATGAAGAAAAAATTTTAAAGGACATAGTAACATGGTCAGTAGCTTTTGAATCCAAGATCCATGTAATAATGTTCTGAAATTGAAAAAAAAATTAAAAATAGGAAACATGTTACCTTGTTCGTGAGTTTTTGATGAAATAGTGCTAATTTGACGTGCTTAAGATGTATTGGAATCAATGTTTTGATTTATCAAAGCCATTAAAACCTGGTACTATTGTGGATTCAACCTCACCTCTTGATCCTTGTCATCAACCTCAAAACTTTTATTTTTTTCCATTGTACAATTTATGACCCGAAGGAAATCCATTTTTCTTGTAGTAGATCTCAATCGTATGACCAATCTTGCCACAATGAGCACACATTTTGCTATTTTCAGTATTTTTATTCAGATACCTATTATTTTTGAAGCAAACATTTTCATTATGACCTATCTTTCCACAATAAGAACAAATCACAATATTGACAATAACAACAATTTTTATATTAGAAGAAGAAATTATTGCCCATGGTTTACCTTTCTTGTTGAACAACATATGAGAAAATTTTAGATATGGATGGAATAGGGTCCATTAAGAGAACATGTGACTTTATATTATTGTATTATTCATTTAATCTCCTTAAGAACTGCATTGCCCGACCTGATCTTCAATCATTTAAACATGATCTGACCTAAAGTTTTCAAGTTCATCCCACAAGGTTCGTAGCTTGGTGAAGAACTTGGTGACCATGTTATCTCCTTGTTTCAGTGACACTGCTTCCATTTCTGAAATTCTTAGCAAATCTCCTTGGAAAAATCTGGACCATAAGTCATTCCAGATATTTTGCACTCTTTCCATCCAAAGGATACTCTGATGAATGTGCAGTGAAACAGAGTGAATGATCCATGAGACAACCATATTATTACAACTTTTCTATGCATTATGAGAGGCATATGTCTTTGCAGGTTCTTCAACCAAGCCATCAATAAATTGAACCTTATTCTTTGCACTTAAAGCAATCACCGTGGACTTGCTACATGAATGGTAATTGGTTGAATCCAGAATGGGAAAAACAAGGGTTATTGAAGGGTGTTCACTCAGATGTAAATATAAGAAACTATCACTAGGTAAACAAACATTGCTTTCTTTAACCATGCTGAAAAATAGATGAAGAAAATGTAAAAGAAAGAAAAAGATCAGAGTTTAAGCGGTTGAAGATTTTTGATATCATATTAGGTATCATATGTGAGAAGAGAAGTCTCACATTAGGCAAGTCTTACTTTGATGCTTATTTTTCTTACTATAAAAGGAGCACAATGTTTACCTTGTAAAATACACCAAAATCACTTCCTTTTCTTTTTCCTGCTACTTTAGTTTTTGAGAGATAAATTAAGAGAGAAAAATAGTTTTTTCCTTTAAGGTTTTCTTAGAGTTGTTTTTCTTTTATTTTCAAGAGAGGGTATTATTATTTCCTCCTTGGAGGTAGAGAGAAACGGGTTGTAATTTCTTTCATTAGTGGAATTATCTTTTTACCTATTGTCGATGTTTTTCTCATCTTTTTATTTTAGTTGTGTGAGTTTATGCTTTTGTCAGATACCTAATAGTGGTATCAAAGCCACTAGGTTGTGATATTGGTCTTCTGCTACATAGTCATTAGAATAGTGTTAGAGAAAATTCTTAGTATGTTTTGTGGTTGTGATTAATCTGATCTTCCACATTAGAAAATAGTTATTTTTGTTATTGATATTATTTGGTAGTGTGAAAGTGTATGTCTAGGAAGATTCTGACAAGGAAAGACTTGATATTTAAGCATGTCCATTAGTGACCCACCTCTCTTTCTTAGGAACTTACCTGGTGTACTGGTTCACGGTCTACTATTGTTGTTTTAGTAGGCAATACTATTTATAGTGAGGATTGCATAAGTCGGTTTGGAACCATAGTAACAAAATATGAGATAGAGAAGTTCAATGGGAGTAATTTCTCATTGTGGAAATTAAAGATAAAGGCAATCTTGAGGAAGGACAATTGTATTGATGCAATTATGGAAAGAATCATGGAGCACACGGATGAACAACGATGAAAAGAAATGAAAAATGATGAAAAGAAATGAATGACGATGAAAAGAAATGAACGATAATTTTATTGCGAATTTGCACTTATCAATGGCAGATTCGGTTTTATCCAGTGTTGCGGAAAAGACTATTACGAAGGAGATTTGGGATACCCTCATTAAACTATATGAGGTGAAGTCACTTCAAATAAGAATATTCTTGAACAGAAAACTCTACTATACTCTTTGGATGAGTGAGTCCACAATAGTGACAGACCACATAACCATTTGAATACCTTGTTTGTCCAACTATCAACGGTAGATTTCAACATAGTTGAAAATAAACATGTAGAGCTTTTATTTCAGAGTTTACTTGATTTGTATGATCAACTCATCATCAATATTACAAATAATAATATTGATGGAAATATGCACTTTGAGGATGTCACAGAAGCTATTCTTGAAGAAGAATCTAGGCAGATGAGTAAGGGTAAAGTTCTAAACAAGCAAAGGTTTTGACGATGATGAGAGGAAGATCAACGGAACATGACTCGAGTAAGAATCAAAATAATGATAGATCGAGCTCTCGAAGTAAGAAAAGTTCTAAAATCAAATACTACTTTTGTGGCAAGAAAGGGCATACAAAGAAAGAGTGTTGGAAGAGGAAGAATGGAGGGAACAACTCTGAAGTATCAACCCCACAAGGTTATGTTGTAAGTACCTCGAAAGATGGAGATATTCTGGTGAGCGAAGCAATAATTAGCTATAATGATGAAAAGGAGTTTCATGATAGGTGGGCAGTGGATTCAGGTGCAACATGACACATGACTCCACACCGAGATTGGTTTCACACTTATGAATTTGTCTCAGGTGGATCTGTCTTCATGGGAAACAACCATGCCTTGGAGATTACTAGAGTTGGTACCGTTAAAATTACGATGTATGACGGTATTGTTTGCACAGTTCAAGGGGTACGACATGTGAAGGACTTGAAGAACAATCTATTGTCCATTGGATAATTAAATGACCTCGGATGTAAGATCCATGTTGAAGGGGGAATCTTGAAGGTGGTAAAGGGGAGTTTGGTGGTCATGAAGGCAAAGAAGGTCATGGCAAATTTGTATGTGCTGCGTGGAGATACGTTGCAAGAAGCAGATGCATCAGTTGTGGCAACAAGTAAGAAAGATGCAATGATCATGTAGTATCATAGACTTGGTCATATGTCAAAAAGTGGTATGAAAATCCTTGCAGAACATTGATCAATGTCGTACTCGATCAAATA